TGGGTGCTGCTGGAATCTGCTTTTCCCCAAGTCCTTGGCCAAAATGCTCTTCAGGCAGAACATGAAAACTGATTTTTCCCCCACCTCTCCCAGGTGTTCTTAAACTGGAGGAGAAATTCATTGAATTGTAGTGCCAAGTCTTTGTTTTCCTCTAGGTGTTGATGATGGTGTGTGCATGAGAACCACTGACCTCAGTCTGTGGACTGTGGATCTCTTATGCCTCGAGTATCACCTTGCCCTCTGTTGTCCCTCCCCTGCTAACTGTGCTGTCTGCCCATAGTTCCTTAGGGTGACAAAGCAGTACCTCCCCCACGTGGCCCGCCTGTGCCTGATCAGCACCTTCCTGGAGGATGGCATCCGCATGTGGTTCCAGTGGAGCGAACAGAGGGATTACATTGATGGAACGTGGAACTGTGGCTATTTCCTAGCCTCCATCTTTGTGTTCGTAAATCTCTTCGGACAGCTGAGTAAGTGGCTCTAAAGCTGTTAAGGTGAATGCCTGAGCACTCCAGTGTGTCTGCCACCCCATGGCTCATGCAAGCACTGTAAATCATGTAAGCACGGGACACCTCATTGATTTCTTAACAGCCATTGATAGCTTAGAATTGAGCTTCACAGGCTGAATGAAAAGAACTGACCTGCTTCATGTTTTCGTGGAAACCAACTGCAAGAATTTCTTGTGACCCATTACGTTTGAGTCAGGTGCCAGGAGTCTATTAGGACAGTCTATTTTCAATTCTGTACATCCATCTATAAAGATTCCCACAACTCTAAGTTGAATAATCACATTTTCTTAAGTGGGGCACTAATAAGACTTTCACAGTCTGCTTTTTTTTTTTTTTTTTTTTTTAATAGAGATTAATCTCACTGGCAGAGTCTTGCTCTGCAGTTGGTACACCTCAGCCACAAGAGAGTGCTTATATCAAAGGTACTCAAAGCCCGGAAGCAGAACATCTGGATATTTCCTGAGTGAAACTGGTGTCCTAAAATTGAGAGGAATAAAATCTTATTTGTTTACATTACGTTCTTCATCTATTCTCCTTGATTGCTCTGCTAATTTCACTTTTTGTGCCTAGGTTTGGTTTTTTACCCTTCTATTTCCAGTTTAATTTAATGTAGTTAATAGTTCTCATGTCAGTGCTTTTTGTTGGAACACTTGAGGAAAGATCTAAAAGCTTTCAAAGCAAAAGAGTGCAGCATGTTTGCCCTAACAGTTATCATTAATAAAAGAATAAAAAATGAAAGACCAAAGCAGAATATCACCTTGTGATTAGTTGAGTTTCTCTGCAACTTCTTTTTTATGCTTCAATACTGACAGCTGCTCCAGAGTGCTGTATACTGTGGGCTACATTCAGCAGATGCTTACTCTTTGTGCAATAAATGGTATTATTCCAGAAATATCTTTTTTAAACATGTTCAAAAACACTGGCTCTGAAACCAATTTGTGTCAGTGTGCCATTAATCCTAGCCAACTCTCCTCAGCACAGCTGACAGAAATCAGATTCTGCTCAGTTCAAAACAAGTTAGCATTCCTGCATCATCTTTTCCTGTGCAAGCCAGAAGTGTAACTGTGTTCAATTTCCCCAACTCAGGCGGCTGTATCCTGGTGCTGAGTAGGAACTTTGTGCAATATGCCTGCTTTGGACTGTTTGGAATTATAGCATTACAGGTAGGAGGCTTGAGTCTTCAGACCTTTTAAACCACAGCTTTCAAGTCTTCTCTCTTTGCTGCAGTATGACCAGCATATTTAAATACCCAGAATTTTTATCCACCCTGGCCTAATGCCAGTCCTCAGTGACATTGAACTATTTTGCAGTTTCTGTTCTTCTGACATGCCCAACAGATCCTTGGATGTAATTGTAATTAGTCAGCTGGAGGTGTTGATTCAATACTTGACCTTGACCAATTTAGCAGAAGTGACTTGCAATTTACCTGTACATCAGTAATGTACCAAGTATGGATCTTGCAGTTGCTTTGGCCTTCAGCACAGTTATTCTGAAGGACTGTCCCCCATGACAAAGAATCTTTTAAGTTGAAACATTTCTGTCCAAAACAGATGGGCTTTGTGGGGGCTGAAGCACAAGTTAAATTCTGGCTTCAGTTCTCTGTTTTACGCTGACTCACAGGACTATGGTGGTGTAATTTAGCTTGTTTTCTGTAGTGTAATGTACTTTTAATTGACTTTTGCTATGGATAGTAGAGGTTTGAGAATATAACAAATATGCAGAACTTCAGTACAGTGTACATGGTGTTTTCAACTTATTTTATTCTTTGCCTAGACTATTGCATACAGCATTCTATGGGACCTGAAGTTCTTGATGAGGTATGACTACTTCAGTTTTTATCAAAGCACAACAAAAGCTTTTGTCTGTTGCTTCCATTCTCTGACAGAGTTATCTTTGTACAGAGTGCTGGAAAGATTTTACAGATGGTCTGCTTGTATTAATATCTCAGCACTTAATATATATATACAGCAGGTTCAATGCTGCAGAAGGAAGAGACTAATCCTAACCCACTAAGATCTAATTACTGCTGTGACATCCTTGCTGAGAGCTCGGGATCTGGATTGGATCAGCGAGCTGCTATCTCCTAAACAGTTAAAATAGCAACTGTGCTTACATGTGAGACCAAAGGTGTTATTTGAGAAAACTGAAAGGTTTAGATACTAGGATGGTTTCTGGGGTTTCAAGTCTATATCACCTTCCATAAGTAGAGGACAAGTTTATTGATAATGAACTTTCCTGTAAAATGTGGAGTGGTGGCTGTTACCTTTTCACCTCTCTCCCCTGCGGGTAGGACGGGGGTAGTAGCACAAGAACTGTGCTCTCAGGCTTACTACAACCCTGTAAATGTGTAACTTCTCATAGCAGTACTGCTCTTCTGTGTTCTCAAAGCAAACTCTGGACTTCTCTGGCATATATAGTTAAACCAGAGGCACAGAATAACAAACACTAAGTGGCTGTGCCAGACTTCTCTAGCAGGCTGTGTGTGTCTATGCAGGCTTGTGTAAACCTACCCTGTGTACAAAGCTGCTGTTTCAGCTGCAAATTCTCATGCAGGCACACAGTGCAGCGTACAGAGTAATCACTTCTCACTAGTACTCAGATTCTTAGAGTTAAAATTGTCAGATAACACTTAATAGTTTGTATTTATCTATAGATCCAGTTGTTTTGTTTTGTTCAAAAAAGAAAGCTTTTATTTTCCACTTGTATCTTTCTGTAGGAACCTTGCCCTAGGGGGAGGCTTGCTGCTGCTTTTGGCTGAGTCACGCTCAGAGGGGAAAAGCATGTTTGCTGGTGTCCCTACTATGCGAGAGAGCTCTCCTAAGCAGTACATGCAGCTTGGGGGCCGTGTGCTGCTGGTCCTCATGTTCATGACACTGCTGCATTTTGATATGAACTTCTTTTATGTAAGTATCGTGAGTTAAAAGTATGGGTTGAGGAACTGGAATATAGTACTACCTCCCAGGTTGGCTGTAGGTCTTACTCATTGCTTCTCATTAAAGTCTTTTTTAATTAATACTTAGAAAAAAATGTTACTAGATTATCTGTACTAAGACAACTTGCTCTGAACAGCTTATCTGTGCTCTGATGTCTGTGTATCTGTTTAAGAGACACAAAATCTTACTTGGTTTGTTGGTGGGAGTGTTGCTTTTTGAGTTTTGACTTCCATTTCTTTTAATCTCCCCTCCTTGCAGATTCTGCAAAACATTGTGGGCACAGCCCTGATTATCTTGGTGGCAATTGGCTTCAAGACAAAGCTGGCTGCCTTGACTCTAGTCATCTGGCTTTTTGGCATCAACATTTACTTCAATGCCTTCTGGACCATCCCAGCCTACAAGCCCATGCACGACTTCCTCAAATATGATTTCTTCCAGACCATGTCTGTAATTGGAGGGCTCCTCCTTGTGGTTGCACTGGGTCCTGGTGGAGTCTCCATGGATGAGAAGAAGAAAGAGTGGTAACAGGAGTAGCAACACTTCTTTGGACATAACATGTTAAGATCAGAACTGATTCTGTATGGATTCAACAAAAACTGCCAGCATTTTACACATACATGCCCCCTTCTTATTAAAGGCACAGATGTTTTGAATTTGATTTACAGTGGCACCAGTAATATAATAGATAAAATCCCATCTCTTCAAGGACTGTTGCCTAGACTTATCATTCTAACTTTCTAGATTTGGAACTAACCCAGCAAACGTGCATTTTGCTGGTACTTCAGTGAGTTGCAGTAGAATGGTTGTTCTCTTTAAAGTCAGCGTTGTTTTAAAATTTGGAGTACTGTGAGGAGTACGGCTGTATCACTCAGTGTGATGTTGGATTTTAGCTATAACTTAAAAGTGGATCCCCTTTTTCACCCTCATCAAATCTATCTTGTGTATAAGGAGTTCCACTGGTTATAGCATTGCTTATCAAGGTGGAAAGCAGTGTCAAAAGAACTCATGGCTATTTTGCTATTCAAAGGGCCTGTAAATCCATTATTACTTTCCTTTTAGCAAGAAGGAGGTCTTTCCTGCACCCAAATAGAAGGCAAAAAGAAAATCCTGAAAGTAACTGTAACCTCCTTTAGGTAAGAAAAGGGAGAGTTTTCCAACAAGTTACAGTTCTGTTCTTGAGGGGTGATATTCCTTCTTGCTTACAAGATTAAGAGGGAAGGGGCAAGGTACTCCTGAAGAGACAGAACATTAGATGCTGGTAGAATTCTGTGCCAAAAGAACTTACTCAACACTCTTTTCCCAGAGTTGCCCCCTCCTGGGTTCCCAAGAAAGCGAGCCTAGTTATGCTGCACGTTCCGTAATAAAAGCTCCTTTCTGCTATTAACCAGTTTCCATCCATCGTCCATCCGTATATGCTCCAAATTCACACCTGAATTGCAGGTTACTGGTGAAAGTATTTATCCAGAACCATGGAAACTCCTTTTTTCCCTGCACACAATACATGCAAGATGAGAGCAGTCAATCTTCTAATTACTATAGTGTTCTTGCTTTCTTGATTAACTTTTGTCAGTCTCAGCTGCAAAAGCCTCAGCTGACTGAACAGTGGAAAGGTTGGAGTGCTGAGCTCCAAGTCTAACTCTTCCCCCTGACATCTTGGGCCACACCTGAGATGCACAGAGAATGAGCATGGAAGTCAGCTGTGTGCTGCCATAGTCCCAGTTCTCAACTGTGTATTAAAGGCAGTTGTAGTTGAAGAATGCAAGTGCAAAGCCTGCATGGTGAGTAAGCAGTCAGGAGCGTAACTTTCATGTTCAGAGAACTCTTCAGAGGAAGGAACTCCTCAGCTTAAAAGTGAGGAGAGAGCAAGGCTCTGTTTTTACCTCAGTGCCACAGCCTCTGTGCCATGAACATGCTTAGTGAATGCTGCTTAGAGGAGGTGTTTTGTCCTCTGCTGGTAGATAAACCTGTTTCATTAGATCATGAAAGCACTCTAGATTTTTAGAGAGCATGAGCCTTACCAACTTGCTAACATTACCCTGATTTCTTCTTGTCTCCCTTGAGAAAGCTGCTCTAATATTTGTTGGAGGAGCAATTCAGCTGAACCATCTCCAGCAGAAACTAATTACCTGGGTTACCTGGTAAGGGTACTGGCTTGGACAGTTCTCCTGAACAGTTACTTATTAGGTGAGAAAACTAGGCTAAATAGAACAGATGGCAAATAGAAGAGTGCTGCTAAATGTTAAAGCAGTGATTCCATCATCCTAAGGGAAAAGCATCCCATGTAACAGCAGGATGTGCTGCTGCTGAAAGGGGGGGAAAAGATTATTTGGGGGTAGATGAGAGGAAGCCAGCATTGAAGTTCAGGTTGCTTAGGCGGCTTCCTTCTAAATAGGTTTTGCAGGAGAGGTTTTTACCTCAAGTGCTAATTGCGCCTGTCTCTTTATAGCAAACTAAACTAGTCCTTTCAATTCCTAATGTGCAGCACAGGATGTTCTTTGCTCAGTTTCACTGCGGGTCCTATAACTGTTAGGCTACATCAAGGCAGCCATTCTCAGATCTCTCAACTGCTGTTGGTATTCGTAGTATTTATAAATTGAATTTCTGTAGGTAGCCCTTAGTTAGCTTCCTCAGCTTCTTCTTTGTGTCCTGTCTAACTAAGGAGCTGGATGATGGACTAGTCTGAAATACTGACCAGTTTCCCCTGTGAAAATAAAGAGTCCAACTTATAATAAAAGACCCCAGAAAAGGGAACTGTTACTGCCTCTTACAGAAGAAGTATTTTAGTACTGAAGAGGCACTGTAAGGTGGAGGGCATTATAAGGTATTTCTAGGCAGCGCAGTATGTGGACTTACAGCTGTGAGTCCTGGTACAGAAGATTCTGGTAGCTTATATACACTGCTGTATTCACACATCTCCCAAAAATACAGTGACCTCCCCCAGTAGCTGAGAAACAGGATGTCAACTATCAATTGGCTCTGCAAAGTGTTCTGGAATTCATTCTGAATATATTTTTGCTTTCTATGTGGAAAAAAATAAGTATAAATTCTCATTTTATGCTGTATTTTGTACCTTAGTTGTGTTTGAAAATGTTTTGATTTTTGAAACAATCAAAATAAAAACAAATGGCATCTTTGTATCCACTTGAAGTGTATGACTAGTGACACTCAAACATGCGTGCTTTTTCTCTTTGTAAAGAGTTCCAAGCAGTGCTTTGCATTTATGTTACTGTAGTAATTCTTGTTTTGTTAGCAGTGGATGGAGAGAGAGTTTTAACATGCAGTTTATTTCCCCCTTGCTGTTTCTCCCTGCTGTAACAGTTAACTGGAATGGGCAGCAGGGCTTACAGATGAATACTTTGGTCTTGTGCACCACCTGGAATTGTCACACAGGATGCTACAAGCTGCATTTTTATCATAAAAATTTATTTACCATTGGTTGTTTTCTTGAACTTTTTGGGTTTTTGATGACAGCTCTTGAATTTTTTCTTTGAAGGGCCAGACTGTTTCTGTAGAAAGAAAAAGTCAATCAGCTTTTTCCAGAAAATAAACCCAGCCTTGCCCCAGACTGCTTAAAGAGAAATCAAGTGTGATCTCCTTTACCAAGAGACAGAACAAGCACAGCCCAGGGCAAGCCATGGTGTTTTCTTGCCCTATCCTGTAAGTTAGCATCTCTGACAGTTTCATTAGATGCAAACAGTGACCCTCTCTCCATAGAAATGAACCTAAACTTCATCCAGCCTTAACTTTTTCAACCTGATACAATCAGAAAGGCTCCAGCCCATCCCTCAGGGATTCCTGAGAGAGTTTATTCAGCTTTATGTATACAATGTGTCTGCTTCCCAAACTGAGAAGGATCTGGGCATACCCTCCTGTAAGTACACCCAAAGGCAGGACCTGGTCAGCTCCTCAGGTAGGAGCAGAAAAAGGTGTAGGAGGGAGTCCACAACTTTGGAAGTGTTTAGGCTGTGTGTTTGTGTATGGAGAAGAGGATTACAGAACCCACAGTCTCACTCTTAAGATGGTGCAGCAGGATTCAATCAAAGATGAGATATTTATACAGGAAGTAAGATCCCCAGTTGGAGAAGACAGGATAAACATTTACTGCTACTAATTCACACCTCAGGATGCAAGTCAATGGCTGGCACATGGAGAAAGTATTCTCCCAAATAGATTTACACCTTCTGCTGATTCTCAGACAGGAACAGATCAGACAACCACCTACAAGATAGCATGATAGCTGTTCACGCTCCCCATCTGCTACGCACAGCAAAGTGACTCCCACCTTTCCCCTCTTGCCAACTGCTCTGCTGACATCCATTCTTTCACCATCTCCATTCACGTCACCATTCTCCCTACTCAGCTTGGCCCCGTCATCCTCGCTGTCTGTTGCAAAACCATCGTTGGCCTCTGTGTTTTGTGGAGCTGCTGGGCTTTTTTCTGGGAAGAGTCCAGCTAAAATACAAAGGTTTAGCTCAGGATCAGTTCTTTGTGCACACAGGCTCTGATGACCCTTAACTTTGTTTTCTGCTCATCTGAGCTGACTCTGGCCTCCAAGGATTAGCCCATCATATACATCACTACTGAAATATTCAATAACAAACACACTGAAGTTTTATTAGAAAAACGCCTGGTGCTCTCATTAGCCCAGTTCTGGGAACCAGGCAACGGATGCAGTTCTGGGGTCTTAAAGCTCTGCTCTCCTACAGCAAGGCAGTGTTTTCCAGATGTGAGTGGAATGGCCTTACCAACTCCTGTCAGGCTGCAGGACTTGCTGAGAAATAAGGAAAGCAGTGATACCTAAAGCAAAAACCAGCGGACCCTGTATCCCTCCCCTCACGCCTTACAGGATCCAGCTCTGTGTGATAACTGCTATTTCACATTTGGCAGTGGGAAACTTTTACCAAATCCAAGAACCTCAAACTGGATGAAGGTCACGTCTCCAGCACACGAGCAGACAGTAGCAGTATAAAGGCACTGTGAGACAACGAGCTGATAAACTTGCTTTAAGACACACATGATAGCAATGTTCTTACTCACGTGGGTACAGATCGCTCATGCTGTCGTCTGTCTCCTCTCCATCCTCATCCTCATCTGTCCTGGGAGAGCTGGGCTCCCAGAATTCTTCTGTTCTGTGAGGCTCCCTGCTCCCATTCATTTGGTCGTCAGCACGCTGTCTCTGCTGTTGCTTCTGCCGCAAGCAGGCAGGGACATACTTCACCCCTTCCTTCTGGCACTTCTCATCTAATGGTGCAAGGGATTGAGCAGCACTTAGCAAAGCTACCCAGTCCCTGAGTCCTATTTACTTCCAGGTCCACTTTATATTAAATGCAACTCAGAAGCACGTCAAGCTCCAATACACGTTCACATAATCAACATGATACTGCAGACCATGAAAGATGTTAACGCAGATACTCTGCTGGATGTGTTAACGCCCATTCTGGGGAATCTTTTGTTCCACTCCTTCCAAATAAGAATGCTCCAAAGTATCTGCTAAAGAAGCCAGCTGATCCCTACGCTCAGGACCTTCCTTCCCAGTTGAGGCACACACACAGCAATTGCAGCAAACTGCTGTCAGCTAGAGAAAACTTAACCATTCCCTTCATATACAGCTACTGGAACTTCAACAGCTCAGGGGAGAAAGCAGCTTTTCTGAAGGACCTCGAGAGGCCAGAAAGGTGGGCCTGGGTGAACCTGATGAGGTTCAACACGGCAAAGTGCAGGGTTTTGCACTTGTGCTGGAGGAATCCCAGGCATCCATACAGACTGGAAGGAGAGGTCCTTGAGAGCAGCCCTGTGGAGAAGGACCTGGGGATCTTGATAGATGAAAAACTTAACATGAGCCAGCAGTGTGCCCTTGTGGCTCGGAAGGCAAATGGTATCCTGGGCTCCATCAAAAGAGGGGTGGCCAGCAGGGACAGGGAGGTGATTGTTCCCCTCTACTCTGCTCTTGTGAGGCCCCATCTGGAGTACTGCATCCAAGTGTGGAGCCCCCAGCACAAAAAAGACAGGAAGCTGTTGGAGAGGGTCCAGAGGAGGGCCACGAAGATGATCAGGGGACTGGAGCACCTCCCCTGTGAGGACAGGCTGAGGGAGCTGGGCTTGTTCAGCCTGGAGAAAAGAAGGCTGTGGGGTGACCTCATTGCAGCATTTCAATACCTAAAGAGAGCCTACAAACAGGAGAGGAATCAACTCTTTGAAAGGGCAGATAACTGCAGGACAAGGGGAAATGATTTTAAGTTGAGGGAGGGGGGATTGAGGTTGGACGTCAGGGGGAAATTCTTTACAGAGAGAGTGGTGAGGTGCTGGAACAGCTGCCCAGAGAGGCTGTGGATGCCCCGTCCCTGGAGGTGTTCAAGGCCAGGTTGGATGGGGCCCTGGGCAGCCTGGTCTAGCATTAAATGAGGAGGTTGGTGGCCCTGCATGTGGCAGGGGGTTGGAGATTCATGATCCTTGAGGTCCCTTCCAACCCTGGCCATTCTGTGAAGGTACAGTCAGCCAACTTACATGTTTTCAGTGCCTTCTGATAGCGTTTCCCTTGGACGTGACGCAGGACGTGCTCTGGAAGCTTGTTGATGTGTCTGAGAGTGAGTTTGCAGAACAGCTGATGCCTGAGACACACACACAAAAAAAGAAAGAGCCACAAAAAGACTTTAAGCAAGCTACCTAATAACCTTTCATTTACACATACTGTGCTCGAATGTAACAAACAAAAGACTTTCCTAAGTACCCAAGAACTCCCTAAAGCTGAGTCACGGAGACTGAATGCACCAGAATACCTACAGGTTCTTTGTGCTGGGCACAATATGGGGCTCGAAGGTGCCATAATCAAACTCTCTGGATGTCTTTATCAGCCGTCGGTACTTCCTGCCGTCGGTGTAAGCCTGCAGCTCCGACAGCCGGCACGGCAGCTCGTGGCCCGTCAGCCGGCACCGCACCTGAGAACGAGGAGTCCCGGTCAGAGAGCCCAGAGATGACCCGGAGAATTCGAGGGCAGACCCCAGCTCCTGCCAGGGCAATCCTCCCCAACCCTCCCGGTTTACACAGCGGGAGAAACCCCTCCGGGGTTGAGGAGGCTGAGCTCAGGCGGCCTCGTTCTCCTCACCGCCCCTCGTGGGAAACGCTCCAGCCTCTCCTCAGGTAACGCGGCCCCAGCACCCCCCCTCAGCTCCATCCGCGGATTGCTCCTGCCCACCTTGCCCGACTCCGCGAGGCTGAGCAGCGGGTGCTGCCGCAGGAAGAGCCGCACGTCCTCGGGCACCTCCTGAGCCACCTCGGCCATGACCACGCCGCAAAGCTCCACCTCACCATAGAGAGGCGCTGCCAGACAGGATCCTCCTCACTTCCGGTACGGGCCTCGCCGGGAAGCGGCGGTACCATAGAGAGGGGCAGCTAGAGGGGCGGCAGCCGGGGTCAGCCTGGGCAGAGCGGAGGCGCCGGCAGTGTTGCCCCATGGCGGCGTGGGGGCTGCTGCTGCGTGCGGGGCCGCGGCTGCTGCGGGAGCGAAGGGCTGGGGTGAGCGCTGAGAGCAGCGGGAAGGGCTGGCTGGGCTCTGAGGGGAGCGGGGAGGGCCTCGCCGGGCACCGAGCGAGGAAGAAAGAAGGAAAGGCGCTCGCCCGGCATTTATTTGAAAGCAAATGGCAGCGCTGTGTACGTGCCGTAATGCAAACACGTAACACGCACATGCTATAGCACGTATGGAAGGGTCGTTTGTGGTGCTGGGACAGCCGATAGCATCTAGATGGAACACGTACAATGCAGAGAGGCTGCAAAGGATGTTATTTGGTTTCCTTAGATACCGCATTGCTTGCTCAGAAGAACGTTGTTTGGGTTTCCCCAAACGAAAGCAGGTTCTGCTGTGACCCGGCAGAGAGGTGAGTGGATCTGTGAGGGGTTCTGTCGCTTTCAGCCTCACACTGAGGTGCCATTTCCAAAGGAATTTACCACCTCTCCCCCTCTTCCTGTCCCGTTCCTCATTCTGGTTCTCTGCAGATGTTTGCTTGAGGCTCTGCAGCCCACGAAGCTCCACAACAGCCACCAGTGCGCCTGGAGAGGACGTCTGGCTGAAGTGGGGCCTCCTCCTCGTGCCCCTGACTGCGTTCTGTCTCGGCACATGGCAGGTACCAACCAACACATGCTCCATTTCTTCAGAGATGAGCACTTTGGGGCTGTCAGGGTTTCAATCTTTGGTTGTTTGATGTAGATCATGCCACAGGCAAGGCAAAGATTTGCTAATAGTTTACCTTTCCGCTTTCCCACTGCACACTGGTGAGGTTCGTGCAAGTCATTAGTGGAGAGATTCATTTTTTTGACACTTTCGTTACAAATATTTCCCCCAGACGAAGTCAGCAGTCTCCATTTTCATATCTCAATTTGTTTTGTTTATGGTTAGGACAAACTTATGACCAGGAAATAGATTGTAAGGCTTGCAATGGTCGCTATATTGCTCTGGTCTACCAAGAGGAATTACTTTTGTGTTTGTGTACTTCCAGATTCAACGTCGAAAATGGAAATTAGATTTGATTGCACAGTTGGCATCCAGACTTTCCTCAGAGCCCATCCCTTTGACATTAGAGTAAGGAAGCTGAGAAGAGTTCCACAGTAAGATCCCCCCGTACAATTTGCCCATCACAGCTGTGATTTTCATTTCATCTTGTTCTCTGCAGCCCTATGGAGTTGAAGGAATTGGAGTACAGGCCTGTAAAGGTCCGAGGGCATTTTGACCACTCCAAGGAGCTCTACATTTTGCCACGGTCACTTGTGGACCCAGAGCGAGAAGCCAGAGAAGCTGGGAAGCTGACATCCCACGCAGAAAATGGAGCAAATGTCATTACTCCTTTCTACTGCACAGAACTTGGGTAAGTTAAGTGGTGGCTCACATGAGGAACTCATTTCTTTTTAAAAAGTTGAAAAGGTTGGAAAAAGCTTTGGGATCATTATGTCCAACCATCAACCTGGGTCCTGTCCTTAGTCCCTTGGTGCCACATCCACACCTCTCTTAAATACCTCTGGAGATGGGAGTCCACCACTCCCTTGGGCAGCCCCTTCCAATGCCTCTTTCCATGAAGAAATTCACCTTAATATCTAACCTAAAGCTGCAGCTTGAAACCATTTCCTCACGTCCCATTATGTCACCTGAGAAAAGAGACTGTCCCCCTCCTCACTGCAGCCTCCTTTCAGGAGCTGTAGAGAGCAATGATAGAGTTTGTATGTCTACCTGTCCCTTAAAATTCCTCTGTCTCTTAGGTGCTTGAGTCTTGATTCCAAATTGTATTTATGTTTGCTTATAGCTATAGACAGCAGCAAGAATTTCCTTTAATTCATGAGATACATTTGTTCTGTTTATGTAACTCTAGAGTCACGATTTTAGTCAACCGAGGATTTGTGCCCAAAAAGAAACTGAAACCAGAGACCAGGCTGAAGGGACAGGTAAGAGGGATACAGGGAAATCTTGCACATTACTTTCTAACCTGTGCTTATTCAGAGATGCTTTTGATAAACTAAGAAGGGCAGCAGCCATGTTCAGCTTCATGAGTCACTGCACTTGTTAAAGGTGCCTTTTCTTGACACCCTTGATTAAGTAAATAAGGCATCTGCCTTTTTCCCTGCTGTGTTACAGCACAGTATAGCACAACCTGTTAGTTTACTATAACCAGACCCTGCAGGTGATGTACTACCAGGTCCTGGTATGCTAGAAATGAATCTTGAGAGATTCCTTTTTCCTCCTCTGCATTTCAGATTGAAGAAGAAATTGACCTCACAGGGGTGGTGAGGTTATCAGAAAAACGGAAACCTTTTGTACCTGAAAATAACATTGAAAAAAACCGCTGGCACTATCGGGACCTGGAGGCTATGGCCAAGGTGACTGGTGCTGAGCCCATCTTCATTGATGCAGATTTCAGTAAGTCACAAAGGAATCCCAATCCACAACCAATTTATATCAGTCTCCCCCTTTTCTTGGTGATGTATTTCCCTAAGGCACTTCCAGAGGAATTGTACTAAGTTTACTGTACAAGGTTTTGAAGGTAGAGCAGCTGACTTTGCTGGTAACTTGGGAACACCACTGCCCAGAGAAGTGGGCTGTCTTTGGGACTTACCACACTCAGTGAGCTGCTCACTTAGCAGAGCATGGGCAGCTCAGGGCTTTGCAGACCAAACATTTGACAGTGTGCTGTACTTACAGGAAGCACAGTCCCAGGAGGGCCCATTGGAGGTCAGACAAGAGTGAGCCTGAGAAACGAGCACATGCAGTACATCATTACCTGGTAAGCTACCCAGCCAGCAATGTCTGACTTTTATTTTCTGAACACGAAGCCTTAAAACTGCTTTCTGTTGAATCCACTAAAAACAAGGAAATAATTTTTCCCTGGCATTCTTGTTTGCTCCTGCATCAGGAGACTGAGATCTTCAGCTGCAAACTGTTTGTACCTGAGTAGTATTTCCGAGGTAGTCTGAAATAACTTTACTATTGAACTGCAGCTGACTTAAGGAACTTTAATCAATCTTGGAAATAACATGTAAACGTTTTGCATTATTTATTTTTTACTTCTTGTCACAGGTATGGTTTGTGTGCTGCAACTTCCCTCTTGTGGTACAGAAAATTCATACAAAAAGTACCTCTATGAAAGGAAGGATTAATTTCTGCTCTCCTATACTACAGTCAAGACTGCAGCCTGATCAGTCCTGAAGAACTCAGTTTCAGGGCACAGGACTTCCCAGCTGATACTGGCAGCAGTTTGGAAGCACTGAACTTCAGAATTAGTGATGGGTGTTGACACGCTTGCTTACATCAGCTTTCTGGACATGTGAAGAATGCATTTTTCTATTGTTGGACAGTTTGGTCACAAGCTACAAAACCTTTTCTTCTCCACTGCTATATTTTCTATATTAAGTGTAAGCAAATGAGGGCAAGAGATTTTATCAATCAAAATTTTTCACATAGCAGTCATTCCTGAAGCCAAGACAGGGACACTGCAGATCCATCAGGATAAATAAAACAGGCCTGTTAGCACTTGTCTTGTGATTTACGTTGCATATCTTACAACTTAAAGAGGGACATAAATGCCCTTAAATGTAACAACTACAGATTCCAGTTTGAGTAAGACAGTGCACAGTTTTGCAAGAATATTATCAGGGCCAGTAGAAATAACAGAGTTGCCCCAGTTTGGGCTGAAGGCCTTACCACCAAGCTTGGTTGCCTCCAAGAATGCCACAAGACCAAAGTCAACAGTCAGCAAAGAACAGAAGGGTAGAATTACTTCCCTTCACCCCTTTAGTGTGCCTTCGCTGTCTGGTCTTGTCATGGAAAAGGCATTACAAACCTTTAAAGGTCCTGATTTGCTTAATCCAGTGAAGTGTCACAGCTATATAAACATACCTTTACAAAATCATGCAGTAATTAAGCCTAGGCACTAATGATGATTTACAGCTATTTCCAAGTCAGATATCTGCATTACTAAGCTAGGCTTAAAGCCAGAAATAGGCTAGCTTAGCCCATTCACTGTAGGATCACCAGTATGTGCAGCTGAGGGGGCTATGCTTAAAGGAAAAGAACTTAGGGCTAGCATAGCAGCCATGGGAAATTGTTCTATGGGAAGTAATGTGCTCTGTGCAGCCTTCTGGGCTGTTCTATCCGACCATTTTGTTGTAGGCAAATAGAGAAAGCAGGCAATGATCATTTGCGACCCACTGACTGGAACCCTCATTAATAGAGACCACTGAAATTTAATCTGGGGGTTTATTCTTTTTATGTACACAAACCATGGTACCAACTCAGTACATCTTCAGCCCAGCTTAGTAGCCAGTTCTTTAGCCTTTGCTTTTTCAAGCTTGGCAATGCGAGCCACAGATTTTGGACCCAAGACATTACCACCCCAGTGACGACGGATCTGCAAAGAAGAGAGAACAAGTTAAGAGTCCTCATACAATCAATTGTGCTCAGTTCCAGTCCTTCATGCACAAGGGGATGAGCTCCCACAGGTAGGAACTCCCATGCAATTTTTAAGCATTGAATTACATTCTGGGAGCAGTGCAGATGTGACAGTTGAAAGTCTTTCCCTGTCTTCACATTAACTTCAGGACTTCAGGGAGGGAATTAACTCTAGCTGAAGTAGATTTCTTTACACTCCTCTCCCTCTGTTAGCTCCATTTGCCTCTAACTTGGTGATAGCGTTCACCTTGTACCCCACCATCAGGAAAATAATCTGAATACCTAGAAAAACCCTCGATACAATCTACACCCAACAGACTTTAAGCTGATCTCACTACAAAACAGCAATCTGCATCTTACTGAGAAGCTACTGGGGATGTTCATAGCATGAGCCTGAAAGACAAGGGCCACACATCTTACCTCATCATATCTGTCATTGTAGTTGGTCTTGACAGCCTCCACCAGCTTTGCAAGAGCACCCTTATCCTCCCTGTTGGGGACAGTTGCATTTCTTTAGAGCATCAGTTTCCTATTTTCTATAAGTCTTTTGTCTTGGAATTAAACAGTTCATAATACCAACATCATTTTTAAGCATAACAAAAAGTTAATCACACAAACCATCAGTGCTGTAGAACTTACAATGCTTATAGTTCAGCTTATATATGTAACAGCAACACACATTTTAATAAGCTGAAGTAATCTCTAGCTTCAGGATTTGACAGACTGCTTCATATAAGATGACAGTTCATGCAAACTCAGTTTTAGCTCTTTACAATAGACAAACTCAGATTTTATATCCATCTGCCCTATGATCTATGCTTATGGGCAGCTTGTTTTCTCCACTACAGTGAAACAAATCAGCACACAGAATACTTACGGGTTAACTTGGGTGAAAGCAACACAGGTACAAGTTTTCCTGTGCACAAGTCTCCCCAGCCTGGCCTTGCTCTTGATGATGCAGTATGGCACTCCCATCTTGCGGCACAGAGCTGGCAAGAAGACCACCAGCTGAAAAGAGAGAGTGTGTGTGCTGTATCACTGACAGAACAGCTTAGGAGTGTTTCAGCTGGCCTGGGCTGTGGCAATTGCTCAGTGTTAAAAAGCTCGTTTTGCTCTTCATTGTTGATTCAGGTGAAGAAATTCATACATCATTGCAAGGGCCAAGCCTCATTCTTAGTCCAGAAAAACTTTGAACACGCACAAGCATTCGAGTTCTTATAAGTTGAAAGTTTGGCTTAAAATGCACCTTCACCCCAAATCCACTTCCAACCTCAAGTGGAGTTATACATGCAGGCTCTACTACGCACCATGGAGTGTGCTTACCTCAATGGGGTCTACATCATGGGCAATCACCACAAGCTGAGCTTTCTTGTTCTCTACCAGAGTTGTGACAGTGTTAACACCTAAAAAACAAATTAAAGAAGTCTGTTTCAAGTCAGTCTCTTTACCAGAGCTTTCATGTAAGCCTCATAGAATCTGCTCCTTTCACAGCACACCTTTCATCGTGAGAACTTTTCATATCCATTCAGTAGCACAGAGAAGATATTCCATGGACAATTTGCTAAAGCTCAGGGTTAAAAAGCTCGTCTATTTTGCTCTTCACTTTGAGCTCAGGTGAAGAAATTCATACATCACTGCCATAGCATGTCCAATCCTGTTTGGCTGGAGCAGAGCACCAACTTTTCTCATCAGTTTTCCCTCCAAAGGACCACATTCCCATACATGCAAGTAGGAGAGTTCATATACACTTACCTGCCCGGAGAACTGGTGGTCTCTTAGTTGGAGTATCTCCCTTTCCTGCAGCTTTCTGCTCAGCACGAGCCAACAGCCTCTGCTTCTTCTCTTGCTTAGTTTCTGGCCTGTATTTGTGTGCCAACTTCAGAAGCTGCGTGGCTAGAAGTGAACATGAACTAATTAGTAAAACAACTTGGAAATCTCAGTGTTGCCTTTTAAAGGACCCAGTGCATCAAGAAGCACCTGCTGAGGAATTCTGGGTTTGCATCTTTAAGCAAGACCTCTGATACTTCCCCTACCTGCCTTTTCAAAACAGTAATTTAGGCAAGCAAACTCAGCAAGCTTGCTGATCATCAGTCACTATTTAAAGCCTCCCTGAAGGACTCCCAGAGACATTGCAGCTTACTTCTTTTTTTTTATTTTATTTAAAAAAAGAGTCTTATTTTGGTTTCTTTCCTGCCACACACACATCAACCACCAATGACAGAAGTCAAAAGAGATTTGGTAGGTCACATCCTTACCTGTTTGGCGGTCCAAAGCCTGACTGAACTGGTTGATTGCAGGAGGCACCTTCAAGCGCTTGTACAGAATGGAGCGCTGGCGCTGCAGCCTGATGTAGCGGGGCCATTTCACAAAGCGTGTGAGGTCACGTTTGGGCTGGATATCCTGTCCTAGAAATACAGACTTGAACTCAAAACCGTTCCCAATCCACACAGTGAGAGCATGCAATAGGCAAGAGTGCATCAGCGATCTTGGTGGTTATGTATGTCAGCACTACCATTCAGATAGCAAGTATTTTTTCACATCATCTGCACAGGTAACAAAAGTAGCATTATAGAAACCTGAACTAGCTGACCACATCACGCGTAGAACTGTAAGATTCATCACAATGGGCATACATAATAAATCTTTTAGCTTGGCAAACCGTCACAGCCACTTTCAATACCAAATGGAGTACAGATCTACCACTGATGATGGTAAAGCAGCTGCCTTTATGGCTTGCTCCGCTCCATGGCTTTATCACAATACTCTTCCATCTACAGTTACATACAACAAAATAAACCAGCCCTTGAACCACTCTGTGCATCCCTTTACTCACCAATGCCAAAATTCTTGGGCCTCTTCTCAAAGAGGGGGTTGACAACCTTCTTGGCCTCCTGCTTCTTGACTACAGCAGGGGCAGGTGCCACCTTCTTGCCCTTGGCCTTTTTTCCTTTCGGCTGCAAATAAGAAACACATTTATTATTATTTTTTTTAACCTTAAACACTTAATGCACATTAAAAACGTGCATGCAACCTCAAAAAGACGTTTTTAAGATAATGAACAAACCCGGCTGCCTCCCAACCCGGTAAGAGACCAGAACAAAGCCTTCGACGTGACCTAAAAGCGTTCATGAGATGACCCTATATACAACAGCGATCTGCTCTCCTCGGTGCACCCGGGGCCCGCAGGGCTGCCCGGTTCCCATCCCGCCGAGGGAGCGCAGGCCCAGACCCGCCTCCCCCATCCCGGCTTCGGCTCCCGCAGGCCCGGCCTGAGCCGAGCCGCCCCCCGCGGCACCGTAAGGCTGCTGAGCACCCGCACCGCCTCCACACAGCGCCGCGGCCGGCGAGGTGCGCGGATGGCGCCGGATGCCGGTAACCCCGTCCCACGGCCCGCTGCTGCTCACCATCTTGGATGGATGGTAAAAAAGGCGGAACGGGGCATGCTGGGGGATATCTATGTGGCACCAAACCTCGCGAGATGTTGGGCCGGAAGAGGTGGGTCCAGAATGAGGGTTTGGCCGGAAGAGACGTGATCGGAAGGGGGGCTGGCCGGAAGAAGCAGGACCGGAAGGGGGGTTGGCCGGAAGAGGCGGGACCGGAAGGGGGATGAGACGGACCGGAAGAGGCGGCAGGAAGGGAGGAGGCGGCCATGGCGCAGCAGCGGGTGTTGCCGCAGAGTAAAGAGACCCTGCTACAGTCCTACAACAAGCGCCTCAAGGACGATGTCAAGTCCATTATGGACAACTTCACCGAGATCATTAAGACCGCTAAGGTGAGCCAGGGTCGCGGAGGGAGCACCGAAAGGCCTGAAGGTAGGGCGTGGACAGTAGAGTTGGCCTGTGGGTAACGTGAAGGTGAGAGATTGGGCTTAAAGCCTGGGGATTATTGGCGTAGATTGAAATGAAATGCGTTGTGATGCAGCAGCTGTGTGTCAGCGTTTGTGTTCGTAAGGATGAATTTGTACGTTTTTGTCTTTAGATTGAGGATGAAACTCAAGTCTCTCGAGCAACCCAAAGTGAACAAGATAACTATGAGATGCACGTCAGAGCTGCAAACATTGTGAGTAGTGCTTTCATGTTCACTTCATTGGGGGGCACGTCCTTCAGGAGCTGTTTCTTTTGTTATTGTATGTAGATAAGCCTTTATAGCACTCAGGAGGGCTGTTGCCAAAAGAGTGACCTGATATTTGGGGCAGTGGTGTGGTGAATCCTTTCTGTGGGGCAAAGCTTGGTTGCCTGTGTTGTCAGCTACCAGCTTCTGTCAGAACTCTCACCTGTTGTGGGAGCTCCTGTGTAGTCAGGGTGTAGTCAGGGATTGAGCAGGAGGAGCACCTTGGGGTCCTTGTATTACAATTGGCATAAAGTCCTGTTGAAAGATACTCGTTATCTGTGATTTTTTTTCCTTTTACAAGGTTCGAGCTGGTGAGTCCTTGATGAAACTTGTGTCTGACCTGAAGCAGTTCTTGATCCTCAATGATTTTCCCTCTGTAAATGAGGCTATCAACCAGCGCAACCAGCAGCTGAGAAGCTTGCAGGAGGAATGTGACAAGAAGTTGATTGCGCTACGGGATGAAATCTCCATTGACCTGTATGAGCTAGAAGAAGAATATTACTCTTCCAGGTACAAATAGGGCAGTGGACCTCTGTCTAATGACTCCAGCCCTTCTGGGGCAGTTAGTCCAAACAAACAAATAG